TATAACATCTTTATATACATCATCACAGACATGTAATCGGCTAAAATACATTTGTAGAGGTGACCAATAAAAAATAATTAATATATAACGGAAAGAGTGAATGAAAAGAAAAAGAAAAAAATGAGTATTCATAATGCAAACATCTTTCTGAAAACCCTTAACCTAATAAAAGTATGATCACCTGAAAAGCATGAGTATAATAAGGAAAATGAGCAGTAAGGGCGTAGGGAGAGGTACGCGGGCGTGGCTGACGAAGAAACCGTGGCACTGGGCGGGCTGGAGGGCGCGGCTTTCTTCGGCTGAGGTGAGGCCGCCCACGCAGACACGGTATCTGCAAGAGGTGGAGGTTCGTGGATCAGGTTCTCTGTATACGTACATAAGGAAATACTCTTGACCTGTAAGTCAGGGTTCTGGAGAATCATGGAAGATCATGGAAATTAGAATTGAAATTTCCAGACCTGGAAAATCAAGTAATTTTGTTTTCAAGTCTAGAATATCATGTATTTCTATTTATCTATTTATTATTATTATTATTATTATTATTATTATTATTATTATTATTATTATTATTATTATTATTATTATTATCATTATTTACGCCTAACCTAAATCTAATCATTTTTGTTTTCAATTTATATTCAGAAAAAAAAATCTTCAAAGAAATATAAATAAACCGGAATATTGAGATAACTGATTGAAAAGTTGAAAAATTACATAGCCTAAATTGATACATGCTGATCCATTATAAGCAACTAATCACTGGAGTCAATAAAGCACAATCACAAGTCATTTCTTAAATCTTTTATATCTGACATCAGCTTGGAAGTGCAGTCACTGCCATGGGATATATGCATCGTGAATATGCATCAGATGTTCAATGAAAACTGTGAAAAGTCATGGAAAAATGCCAAAATCTCTCTGGAGAGTCATGGGAAAGTCATGGAATTTTGAAGTGTACGAACCCTGGTAAGTAAATGCTCTGTAAGTACTTTGACCTGTAGGAAAATACTCTGACGTAAGTAAATACTCTGTCCTGTAAGTAAACACTCTAACTTGTAAGTAAATACTCTGCCCTGTAAGTAAATTGTCCTATAGGCAAATACTCTAATCTATAAGCAAATGCTCTTTCCTGTAGGTAAATACTCTGATCTATAAATGATCTGGCTTGTAAGTAAATACTCTGGTCTATAAGTAAATTAATCAATAAAATACTTTGACCTAAAAGTAAATCGTCTCTTCTGTAAGTAAACACTCAAACTTATAAGTACTAATTAACTTACAGGATAGAAGTACATATTTCTATCCTGTAAGATAATTAATCTAACCTGTAAGTAAATCTTTTGTTCTGTAAGTAAATACTCTAACCTATATATAAGTAAATAGACATGGAAACGTTTCTCATAACCTGATCTATAAGTAAATACTTTGATCTAAAAGTAAATCTTCTGTTCTGTAAGTAAACATTCAAACTTGTAAGTACATGTTCTATCCTGTAAGTAAATACTCTGACCTGTAAGTAAATTTTCTGTCCTGCAAGTAAATATTCTAGCCTATATATAAGTAAATAGACATGGAAACGTTTCTCGTAATCTTATTATTATAAAAAAGTCCATACGATTTCAGCCAGTACACGAGCTCACTGACCTGCCCCGGGGAACTTCAGGGAACCTCTGACGTCGAGCGGTGTACCCGAGCGACTTGCTGGACACCTCCTTCCCTGACGTCGTGTTGTAGACGGACACCTTGAAGCCGCCGACGTCCTCCCGCGTCGTCACATACCACGAGATGTCCAGCTTCTCAAGGACGTCCCTGTTTTCTTCGTCCTTCAGGCGGAACCGCACGTCGGGGTTTACCTGTTGGATGCCACGAGGGTCTAGATCATTTTCTGTTATTTGTGTGGGAGTATGGGAAATCTGACGCATCAGATGATGAAGAGAGGGGAGGAGAAGAGGGGAAATGGAATGCGAGGTGATTAAAAGTGAAGAAAAAATGGATGAGGTAAAATCGATTTAAAAAAAATTATTCATTCTTCCTTCCCCATCTAACCATATGCAGTTTATAAACTGCTGGGCCATTTTTCGACTGCTTTTACCTGGTATTCTTCAAAGCTGCGACGGTTATCAGTGCAGCGCAGTTCCTCCTCGGTGATGAAGGGGAGCGCTCTTCCCTGCAGATGCTGCGGGGCGGCGCACACCACGTCGTCCCATGATTTGAATCGAGCGGTTGCCAACCAAACCGAATTCTGCGCAAGGTGCAGTCGCATTCCACAGGATTCCCGTTGTATCTGCAAAGTGATAAGGGATGATGTATTAGGCTCAGCAAATAACAGGGGAAGTCACTACAATACACTGAATGCTAAATGGATCGCACGTATTTCATTACATGTTTAAAATGCATCTTACTTGATCGTGGTTCCATTGATAGCTCTCGGAACAAACTCGGGGTAGTAATGGTGAAGGTTATTGTTTGTAAGATCCAGCATGGTTATGTTCTCGGCCATCTCGCTCTCTCTCTCTCTTTCTCTCTCTTCTCTCTCTCTCTCTCTCTCTCTCTCTCTCTCTCTCTCTCTCTCTCTCTCTCTCTCTCTCTCTCTCTCTCTCTCTCTCTCTCTCTCACCGAGTAACAACCACAATCTTACTCACGGTATTAATTTCATTATCGCTCAGGAACAGACGTCTCAGGAACCTCATAGACCTGAAGGAGTTCGACTCAACCTTGCCCAGCTTGTTATTGGAAAGGTTCAGCCATCCGAGCAGCGTGTTCCTGGCGAAGGGGTTTCGGCCGAAGTTCTTGATGGCGTTGTTCGACATGTTGCACCAAGTCATCTGGTTCAGGTCCTGGCGGGGGCATTGGGAATGAGTGGGCACGGCACCTTTTTGTGTGTTACTTATTGGGGTTTTTATTGTGCTTTGATTATCTGGTTAATGTTTTTGGTAGTTTTGGGATAGTAAGTGCTGGTATGTGTAGACGTTTGAGACAATTTGTTATATACGAAGTTACTTTCTAATGTATAACAAGTTATTCCCAAATGCATGCTCTTTAATGATTTTTTCGCAAGGGGCACCGGAACAATTTGTTTCAGAATAATGGCGAACCACATGAATGAATATTGAATTTTTACAATAATCGTTCTTACAGTTACGGTTGCTAAGTTTGTCTCCCGTATTCCTTAAAAGACCCAGGACCTGAATTTCAACCCCGAAGTCGACACCATCTCCTCTCCTCTCGACACTTACCTGCCATTAACACCCCAAAATCGACTCCATCTCTCTCTTTTCGACACTTACCTCCCACTAGCACCCTGAAATCGACTCCACCTCTCTCCTCTCGACACTTACCTGCCACTAACACCCCGAAATCGACTCCACCTCTCCTCTCGACACTTACCTGCCATTACACCCCAAATCGACTCCACCTCTCTCCTCTCGACACTTACCTGCACTAACCCCCGAAATCGACTCCACCTCTCTCCTCTCGACACTTACCTGCCACTAACACCCCGAAATCGACTCCACCTCTCTCCTCTCGACACTTACCTGCCACTAACACCCCGAAATCGACTCCACCTCTCTCCTCTCGACACTTACCTGCTACTACCCCGAAATCGACCCACCTCTCTCCTCTCGACACTTACCTGCCAGTAACACCCCGAAATCGACTCCACCTCTCTCCTCTCGACACTTACCTGCCACTAACACCCCGAAATCGACTCCACCTCTCTCCTCTCGACACTTACCTGCCACTAGCATTTTGAACCTCCCTGCGTACCAGATGTGTCATAACAGGAAGTAGGCATATGGAGGGTGCCCCACCCCCACACCCCTCTTCTCAAAAGCAATGACAATGGCTATACCTCTTGTCTGAACATGTAAGAGGAAGAAGACGAAGAGACAAACAAACAAACATGTACACATCTGCTGGCAGAGGTCAAGGTATTGATCCAATATCATGTGTTACCCCCACCCCCCTTCTCAGGTCGAAAGAGGACCATTTCCGGTGTGAGTTAGGTCGCATAGCTATTCATCGTGTTTGAACTTGTAGCAAAACAAACAAATAACACAAGAGGATCCCTCCCCTCTCTAATAGAGATGAGAAAACGATCATGGGTATTGATCCGATAATTATATTTAGCTTTCCATCGTGTTTTAACACGCAGTTGTAGCTTAAATCGCTAAAGCATCCCAATAATAAGAATGCAATGCGATGAAAAGGATGATAAAAATCGTTATGTACTCAATATACCTTTATTATCATCTTCAAATATACACAAGCACAAACAAATAGACACTTGAATCATTCTTAGACCCTACATCCATTTCCCGCGTTAACTAAAAACTAACATTTTCCTCATCGGTCAAAGCGATGATTACCTAGTTGCCACGCACGTCATTATTCTCATTATTATAATTATTATTAATATTATCATTTCCATCATTGTTAATATCATTATCATTGCTATTGCACTTTTTTCGTTAACATATCATTATGAATGTTAGTTGTTATCGTTAGAATTATTTTTATCCTTTTCATTATCTTTTATTATCATAATCCTTATATTATTTCTAGTCCTATTATTGTCACATAATCATCATCAACACTAACATTACTGTTGCTATTGCTATCATTTCCATTTGCATTGTTATTTTTTAGTTTCTGCTGGATGGTTTGTTGTTACTGCTATTGTAGCTCAAATTGCTACGAAAAGGCGCTAATTTTCAGTTGTCGGTATCGTCTGTATGTTGCAAACCAGTATCGCTATCACAAATTAGCAAGTCGTGTCGTTTATAATAGCATCTGCATTTATAAGTTTAGTCGTAAAAGTGTCTAGAAACGAGAGAATTTTGGAAAATTGCTACTGTTTTGCTAACAATGTGTGCTACAAAAATAGATACACAAATGAGCATACTAAGAACTCTAATTATTTTCATAATTTATATAATTTTCTATCATACTCAATTAACATGCGATAGACTAGATAAAAGCTGTTAGAGTAATACTTTAAAAATAATAGCTTAGCGCTTTATGAGTGGGCAACACCGCGTTAAAGGGCACCAATCAGCTGGTTCAAAGAATGGCGGCGACGGTCTCTGTTTCCAAGGTAAAATTCCTATTTGTTGTTTTATTTGAATATTTATGAATGTTTTCTTCTGGAGCACTTGTATATTAATGATTTAAGGTGTTAGAGTAGACTTTGTGCAATATATGAGCAAGAAAATCGGAGAAATGTAGGAAAACCACGAGGTCTTCCGTGTCGAATTCTACAAACAAGTTATACGAATCAAAAGGTATTTTGCATATTCTTGATGTTTGACTGTTTATGGGATTGTGTTTCCTTTTTGACAAGTAAATTCTGATTATGTAGGAAGCAACTATCTCTTTTTGAATTATTCCTTTTTTGTATTTTAATTTGTTTGATCCACATTCCTTAGGGATTGTTTTTGCGGGAAGTTATTGTTTTTTCCCGTTTTATTTTTGCGATTGGTATTTGTAACAAGTCCCAGAACCAGGATATCATGCGAACCCAAAACCCCATACCTAATTTTTACTACCTTCTATTAATTCCTTAGACAGAAGGGACAACCCATCCTATGTACCCTACGCACACCATTTATTATCACTCCGTGCCAACTTTTAGAAAACAGACATCTGGCTGTGTGAGAGTGTTTTGGACTTATTCTCTGAGCGATGAATTTTTTCCCATTTTAATAAATATGAGGCGGTTGCAGCTGTAGCTGCACTCGTTTGGAAAAAAAGCTGTGTCTATTTCCCTCCATCTCTGTATATTGCTCGGTAACATTAACCTTGCAATCAATTTTAAAATATCCGGAAGATTCTGTCTCTTTGAAAGGCAAGGGTCATATATAATGTTTCTGTTTCAGAAAACAAATCATGAAATTTCTTAATATCATAGACAGCTTGCCAAATAGAGGCATGTAGGCTCTACATCTTTGGTTCTCCAGCAAATGCCAACAAACAGTAAGTCTTTACGTGCAGATGCACTCACCAGAGATTTAGTCCTTAATGCCACGTCACAAAATCTATTCAACAATCTAAATTGCTGTGACTGGCTATGCCTAAGTGGAGGGTCGATAGGGGCTGTGCCCTCCAACATCCTCCAGGAAACATTGTCTTCATATTGGTATTCATGGGAAAGCAGAGCTGAAACTCAGAAGCACCAAGTGGACTTGGCACTTTCTGCAATCTTTTTCTTTTATTTGTGGTGTTACTGTCCATATCTGCAAATTATTTCTTTTACTGCGATTGCAGCTTTTTGTATTATCAAGAATATCAACTTCAATTTGCCATACCTTAGTGTGTCTTAATCATAATGATTAACTTAACAAACGTTGAGTTAGCATATTCTGGCAAGATAGAGCTTAAAATGGGTTTTCATTTGGTAAAACATCATGAGGGCAGCATATATATTAGCAAAATAGGGTTTTCATTTATGAGGTAACCACAACCCTCAGAGACTAACACTTATAGTCTAAGGCATTTTGAACACCTTTTCTGATGGAGGTCTGCAGCCACTATGGCTCTGATTGGCTCTTACAAGAGACAGCTGAAGGGTTTGAGATACTGGTCTGTCTCTCAGTTTATGAAGTCTGAAGTGCCTCTGAATATGAGCATTAATCAACAACCTTTAGGGCACTCCTAAGAAACCACAAACAATCCCAGCTAATCAATGTGTTTCCATAGCCAGGTTCTCTGCCCCAGGTCACAACCTCACACAGTCAGTGTCTATGCAGCAATTGTTGCAATCTATTTCTTTTCTGACAATAGCTTTTGTCAATGCAGATAATTTTGTATATGCATATATGAATAAGTGTAATTTGTTCCTTTCTTAATGACAGAGTCAAACAGAGCAAACATTTGTAGTTTATTATTGGTCTTTGTTTGAGTGTGAATTGATAAGCCTAGAATGATTGCTTGATGCTGCATGGATGTAATGTTGGATTTTAAACTGTAGATCTCACATTATCATAGTTTTTCATAAGTGTGTACAGTATAGAGACCTACTTGTCTGCCACCAGTCTTGTGTTGATGAGCACATCCTTTTCTATTGTCAGCATTCCAGGCAAAGGCCAGCAAACTTACGTTATGTATAAACTGGCAAGATAGAGCTTGTCCAGCTCTCTGGCAGTTAATTGTCAAACCAGGCTGTGCATTTTCATGTAAGATCACGGCAGGCTGCTTAACAGTTGAGGTTTATGGAAGATTTCAGATTATAGGCCTTCTACCGCAGATTAAAGGCCTTCTACCACAGATCACGGCAGGATACAAGTGGGTTTGGATAGACACACCCAGTATGATTGAGAGAAAGAAAAGTCCTGTTTTGAAAGTGACTGCAGGAACCTTCCGAAAACATACTGTTTTTAAATTGCCAGCGATGATATTAGCCATGATTGTTATAAAAGGTATTAAGAATATCTGGGATATAGTAGGGGTAAGAAAGTAAAAGTAAAGTGGCAAATTTAAAGCAAGAGACATGGTACCTAC